TGGCATGTCAAGCAGGGTAATTGAAACATATTTATCATAACCTGTTTATTTGCCTGTACGTGTGCTATTATATACTAGAACTGCAAATTATTATTTTTTTTCTCTCTGTTAACTGCTCATACTCTGGTGGGAATGCAGATACATTGTGTATATTTTTACTAGGCCATTAGGCCAAATTTTAATAAGATGACCCGACAATTTTGTCCAAGGTTTCACCTTTCTAAAGAGATTCAGGAAAAGAGGAATGTGTTTTTTTGCATCTTCATTCTGTAAAATACGAAATCCTAAAATAATAAAAAATATATATACATATATCAATAAATAATTAACTTTTTTGTATTCTCAATGATGATTATGTATTTATAAATACATAAAAATATAATAAAGAACAAAAAACTGTTGTAGGGTCATTAGCAAAAACATAATGGATTTTCAGTCTTGATAGACGTGTACCTTAATTTTCCACTGAATCTAAATGTGATGTAACACATAAATTACAATTACTATCATGCAAATACTACATAATCAAAGTATCTAGATAAGAAATGGTACCAGACCAAATTAACAACAGGTCATTGTTAAAGTGACCATCAAACGACATATTCCCGGAAGGGATTTACATCTCCATAAATGTGGCACAACTCACACCACACAAGGTCACAAACCACAACCCCATAATGGTGCCATGTCTTTAAATACAAAATAATTGTGTGTGAAATATTACCTGTACTTGGGTTTTCCCTCATGCTCTTTGGAGTGAATGGAAGTTGAGGGTTGGTGTGATTGAAGGTTGGGGATTGATTTTGACAACATCAGTAATATTCTCATTGATGTGTCAGTCTTGTATTTGGATCCATTTTTAAGGAATTTGAAAGTGTGAATGTTATATAGTTACATAGTTACATAGCTGAAAAGAGACTTGGTTCCATCAAGTTCAGCCTTCCTCACATTAGTTTTTGCTGTTGATCTAAAAGAAGGCAAAAAAAACCTAGTTTGAAGCACTTCCAATTTTTCAAGCAACTAAGAAAAATATTTCTTCATGACCCCAGAATGGCAGTCAGATTTATCCTTGGATCAAGCAGTTATTGCCCTACATTGAAAGATTATATCCTTGAATATTCTGTTTTTGCAAGTATGCATCTACTTTCTCTTTGAACATCTGTATGGACTCTGATAAAACCACTTCTTCAGGCAGAGAATTCCACATCCTTATTGTTCTTAAAGTAAAAAAAAACTTTTCTTTGCCTTAGACAAAATGTTCTTTCTTCCAGTGTAAACACATGACCTTGTGTCCTATGTAAAGTCTGCAAATGTTGTTCTTTTGTTTCGGAAGGTGACAGATTTTCCTCCAATGTTACTCTGAAGGTTTATAATCCATATTCCAATGTTATTGTAATTCTAAAAATGTTGTTTATTTATAGTCCTGCCTTCAATGTGGACATGAATATCTGGGGGAGACAACGTGGGAACTTAATATAAAAGAGAGCACCTGTTAAATATAGAAAATAAAAGACATAAACCTCCCAAACATTTTAAGAGTGTTAAGGGGCATATTAGTAAATTACATTTTCAGGGTATAGCCAGGTATAGAGATGTCGCAAACTGTCCGCCGAACTGTTCGCGAACTGTCCGCCGGCGAACAATAGCGTGTTTGCGTTGGGCGAACATATCCGATTTCCGGTCCGCCCCCTATACGTCATCATTGAGTAAACTTTGACCCGGAACCTCACAGTCAGCAGACACTTCCTGGGAGGGAGGGTCTGCTGCTGATTGGGTGGAATGTGTCTGCTGGCTGTGAGGTTATTGTTCGCCGGCGGACAGTTCGCGAACAGTTCGGCGGACAGTTCGCGACATCTCTTCCCAGGTATATAGTGTTTGGTTCCCAATAGGGGTGGAGATGTCCATAAAATTGTTTAAGAACATGAAACGTTTTGGAATTTTTAATTGCAAATTAGTGGGCCCCCATGACTGGGATATATTAAGTTATATGGCATTAATAATGGTTTACTTATTTCTGCTTGATTTTTTTTTAAATATTGAGCTCTTATTGCACATCACATTTTTTCATGGGCACTGGATGTGATGGTTGTTGTATATATAGGTTGCAATGCAACAAAAATGTAAACTTTTTGTTTTTTATTACTGCACTTTTTCATTGGTTATTTTGGTTTTTCAAGTTTGTGATTGTTAATTGTTGTGCTATTATGACCCATGTAAAATTTGGGGAAAATATCTCTGAGAAAGTGCCTTATCGGTGTGAAACGCGTTGTGTCTCCATGCTATGGTAGCATTATATCAGCAGAGGAATAGTGCTGTGTAGCTACTATATGCTTATCATCTGGGGGACTGTATACTTCTGTCCTTTTTAACAATCATTCTGTCCCAGGAGAGCGTGGTTGTAGTGAAATTGGTGGTCGTCGGAAGGAACTAATCTTATAACCACTATTCTAGGTCATAAGGTAAAGTCCTATTTGCTTGTATTTGTTTAAGTAGAATCCAGTTCCGATACAGACAGCACTACTCTGTGTCATTTATTTTAACTTACAGCTCCTGCAAAGGGTGCATTATGGTTAGTGAGTGTCACTCCCTAACAGCTGTACTTAGACAAAACAGAGAAATAGAATCCTCTACACTCTAACAGAATTACAGCTTAATCATTCAATGATAAAAAAAAGGACTTATTTATAGTTTATAGTCTATTCAAACTTACAGGCACACAGAAGACGCTATGATTCTATGCTTTGGACCGTTTCAAGCTACTGTTGTGTTCATGATTTTTATTTTACTCATTGAGGAAAGAAATGTCCTTTGATTTGTGCAGATGCCCAGTCCATGATCATATTGGCGTACCAAGCCTGTTCTATCGTCATTTATTTCGATACAGGTTGCGAGAAAAAAATCTCTCACTACAGTGCTTGTGTAATTACACAATAAATGTCATGTCAACAAAGCCAATAAAGAGAGCACAGGTAATAAACATGTAAGTACACAGGTAATAAAACATGCACAACATTTACATTTTTTTAAATGTCAGAGATATTTATGGTAATCTGCAAATAAGGTTCTTTAAACACAATTTTATTCTTTGCTTCTGCTTATGATTTTCCGTCAAAATTATGCAAACCAGTATTTCTCAAAAAAGACATTCATAGTGTAATAACAAAGTGTATTAAGCAAATAATAGTTCAAATGTAATGTGAGGACCAGGGCACATGCACTCATACACTTTAACAATTTGAGGACCAGGGTTCCTACAATCATTTTTTGGCTACAAAGTGAAGATGCATTTTGTGTCTTTGCTGCCCAGAGCTTCACAGCTATGTTACACAAAGTAATGTGCATTTTGTATGACCATATCACACAGCTCCACTGAAATACATTTCAAACTTGCTTGTGACTTATGCCTGGCGTCTTCATAATGAGAAAACAGGGGGCTGGCTGCACTCACCTGAATATGCATAAGTAGGGTGCTGCTAGGAGCCAGTTTATACAATAAAAACAGAAAATCCAGTGCCTTCCATTATCCCCTAAACAGCAACTTCAGTGCTGACAGATTTAGTTCATTTTTTTTTTTTTTTAAAACACCTAAATCCAGGCAAAAAATAATGGGAGTTTAGTTACATTATATGATCATACATTGCATAAGCCTGCCACAACATCAACATCTTTGGCAGGCACTACACTACCAGCCTAGTGTCTGCTTCATGAGCTACTTACTTTGGGGAAAAAATTCATCTCGAGTTCTCTGACGAACAAGGCTAGATAGGGCCCTGGGATGAGGCACCTGTGACAAGGAGGAGTGCAAAACCAAGGAGTTGGCTAGACTCCCTAATATATATATGAGAAAACAGCGTCTTCATAATGAGATATCAGAAGGGAAAAGTGGGACACAGCAAGGAGAGGGCAGTTTGCATGCATTTGAAGGTTGCTTTTGGGATTGCATGTGTGTAGAAAGGGCTGTTTGTTGTGTAGTGTTTGCATTAAATAGTTTTTAATGAATGTGTGTGGGAGGCAGGTTGTGTGTGTAGAAGATGTACTGTATGTATGTGTTTTGGATGTAGTATGTCTGAAGCATATGCAGTGTGTGTGTAATGTATGTAGTGTGGGTGGGATAGGAGCTACATGTTTTGTAGTGGGATGGTGCTATCATTTGTGTACAGAAGGAGAAGCAATTTCATATTATATGATTTTTTTATTATTAATAGTTTATTTTTTATTTCTCCCTCATTCATGTTACCTTTGGCGCAGGAAGGGGGGCATGCAGATCTCTGGTTGTCCAGGAGTGAGAGCTTCTACACCCTATGTCAGGTGCAGGCCCTTTTAAACTCCGACATACTGATAGTAACATAGTGTTGCTATGTTAACCTGCACCAACACTCTGAGTATCCAGAGCTTGTGAGAGTCTACATAGGGTCTGCACTCAGTGGAGGTACAGACCAGATACAGACCAGATGCTCTTTGTCCCTACTCCCTGCACTGGGCCAGTGACAGACTCTTTGATAAAATATGATGTATTCTTTTCTTATTGTAATCCACAATCTCAGGGAGACATCCTCATGCAGCTACCATTAGCTGATAATACTGCTGTGACAAAGTGTGAATACATTTCTCCAGGCAACAATGCTTTAAAGGGAAACTCCAGTGCCAGGAAAACAATCCGTTTTCCTGGCACTGCAGGTCCCCTCTCCCTCCCACCTCCCAATCCCTGGTTGCTGAAGGGGTGAAAACCCCTTCAGTAACTTACCTGAGGCAGCAACGATGTCCCATGTCGCTGCTTCTTCCTCCGCTGCCGCTCCTCCCAGTGATTGCGTCGGCCGGTGGGCGAGACTGATCCCACCCACTGGCCGGGGAGACCTAATGCGCATGCGCGGCAATGTTGCGCATGCGCATTAGCGCTCCCCATAGGAAAGCATTGAAAATGCTTTTCAATGCTTTCCTATCGGGAATTGAGCGACACTGGAGGTCCGCACACAGCGAGAGGACATCCAGCGACGCTCTAGCACAGGTTTCCTGTGCTAGGGACACGGAAGTGCCCTCTAGTGGCGGTCTAGTAGACAGCCACTAGAGGTGGAGTTAACCCTGCAATGTAATTATTGCAGTTTATAAAAAACTGCAATAATTACAGTTGCAGGGTTAAGAGTAGTGGGAGTTGGCACCCAGACCACTCCAATGGGCAGAAGTGGTCTGGGTGCCTGGAGTGTCCCTTTAAGGTGGCAATGGACAAAATGTACCATGATATCATAAATACGTTTTGCCTTCTGAGAGAAGGGACTTTATGTGGTCTTCCAAGAAATACCCAAGTGGGCTACTCTGGGCCTAAAAAAGTGCAGAGACCCATATAAAGCTGAGCTAGTAAAAGGCCTGCACAGTTCCTGCCTGCTGTCTCGCTCCCGCAGTGCTTTGCTAACAGACATCCAATTTATTTCTCATAGACATCCAATACACCAATGCAACAATCAGCAGAAGAATGGTACTGTAAGTTCGTAACCTAGTATATTAGAGTGCCCTAGGGAAAATTGCCTTCCTACCCAATTACCAACCAAGTAAGCAACCAAGTATAAATGTTTGAGAAGAATACTAGGTTGATAAGACATTATGACTGGGAACAGGTTTTCTTCAAATATTCTGTCTACAAGGCATTCAAAAAATACATGTTGGTAGTCTTACCTTTTTCCCAATTCCATGTGAGATGCTCACAATTCTAACAATTAAATATGATATTCAGGGATCAACTGAATAGCAACAAATGCAGTAAACCACCCCATGTTTACTTTATAAGTTTATATGGACTTTTCACAGCCATAGAATTTTGCACGGTATGCAGTAAATGTCCCGCAAACTTATTCTTTGACATTCTCTCTGAATGCATTCTTAGCATGACACTGACAGCTATTGAATCACTCTGAAAAAAACACACATGTCCCTTCAGCTCCAATCAACAATTCTGTTCCCTCTTGTACCACGCAATTTCTAAATTCCTGCAGCATCACTACCATCTCATTAACGAAACGTACCGAAGGAATGACATGGAGCACACCCAAGAATTGACAGCTGACAGATAACATCTGAATAAACAGGACTCGTCTTTACAATTTGCATTGAGAAGCGAGTCACAAAATAATACATGTAATGTAAGTGATGGAGAGAATTATATTGTACATGTCTGCAGTTATTTCAAATCAGTGTCACGATTAAAATCTGTTTCTATGCTGTTTTTATAAAGGAAGGGAACCTGACACAAGGGGACCCCGAGTGTCGTGAAAAAAACTGTGGTGGAGTGTATGGAGTGAGGGGATTCTAAACCTGGTTCTATCAATAGAAAATCGTCTAGGTAGTGGATGACAGAGGGGCACCTGAGTATATTTAGGAGCAGCCAGCAGAGGGTTTCTGTGAAGATATCGAATAACCTGGGGCTGCTCCTAGCTAAAAGTGAGCCGGGTGGCGAAAAAATACCTGTTTCTCCATTTAACACCATGTCAGTGCCATAGTGAGGGGTGAATAGGTAGTAGTTTGAAGGCGTTTGTTATATCTGTTTTGCTCAACCAAGCTCCACTACCAGCTAATAAGATGGCCTCCATGGCATCATCAATTTTAGCGTATTGCAGTGAGAACTGCGTGGCGGGAATGAGGGAGTTGATACTAGGAGTGGAGGAGGAGTGAGGTGCGGAGAGATCAATAATTAAACGTTTTCTTTGGAGTATTTGTGAATAGCTATACCGATGGGATTGGTACGCCAAGATGAGAAAGGTGAAGACAAAAACGTGTGATTTCTATAGACAGAAGGTGGTCCATCGTGAGTGGGTCAGTGGAAGCGGATAAAAGGTTAGGGCATTCAAGTGCACCTGTGGGGATGGCGATAAGGCCCGTGTGAAACCCCTTTGAAAAACACGTCACCAGATAATCTACCAGGTGCCTAGCTGGATGTGACTGGAGATAGTATTCCAGTATGTCAATGTTTACTTCGGTCAGGCGTTTCTTAGGTGACAGAAGGGCTGGGCAAATGGACTTGGTGTGGGTTCTGAAGCATATGGAGCAGATGTGCAGGGCCCAGGGGAGGGCTGGCAGCCTCAGACCTGGGGGGCAAATCCAGTCAAGTGGCACATTGCACCCCCGAATCAGCTCACCATCCATGCCCACCTTTTCCTGGTTTTATAACGGATATTGATGTTATGCTAACCAGTAGTTTTTTGCCATACCCGCTCGTTCACGGCTCTGACTTTCAATGTTGTCAGAGCGCAGGCTGAGAATCTCTGAGCCTGTGCTCTGACTCACTAACCACAAGGGAGAGGATATGATCTAAGGCACCTACTGCTGGTGTGCACCAGTAGACCACTAGGGAATCATTTAAATTAAAGGGACACTCCAGTGCCAGGAAAACAAATTATTTTCCTGGCACAGCAGGTCCCCTCTCCCTCCCACCCCCCATCCCATGTTGCTGAAGGCGTTAGAACCCCTTCAGTGACATACCTGAGACCTCCGCCCACGCTCCTCCCCCGTTGACGTCATCCGGCGGGGGAGACCGATTGCGCATGCGCGGCCGCCGGCGGGGAGACCTAATGCACATGCTGCGCACGTGCATTAGATCTCTCCATAGGAAAGCATTGAAAATGCTTTCAATGCTTTCCTATGGGGGTTTTAGCAACACTGGAGGTCCTCACATAGCATGAGGACGTCCAGCGACACTATACTACAGAAAACCTGTGCTATAAACCAGGAAGTGCAATATTTACAGTTGCAGGGTTAAGGGTAGTGGGATTTGGCACCCAGACCACTGCATTGGGCAGACGTGGTCTGGGTGCCTGGAGTGTCCCTTTAATGTGCTGGTGTCCCAAACTTGTGAGCTGTGTTGGCCACCGGGTGCCTCTGTTGTCATGGCACCCTACGTGACACTACAGCTTGCACACCTCAAAGGCTGGCTCTGCTGACAGACACACTGGCACTCACTCTCAATAGCACACACACACAAACCCTGACAGACAAACACTCACTGACAGGCAGACCCATACACACACACACACTTCCAGACACACACTCGCACACACACACACACACATACACACTCACTTCCAGACACACACTCACTTCTAGACACACACTCACACTCACTTCCAGACACACACTCACTTCCAGACACACACACACACACACTCACTAACTTCCAGACACACACTCACTTCTAGACACACACTCACACTCACTTCCAGACACACACTCACTTCCAGACACACACACACACTCACTCACTTCCAGACACACACTCACTTCTGGACACACACACACTCACTCACTTCCAGACACACACTCACATCCAGACACACACACACACACTCACTTCCAGACACACACACACACACACACACAAATTCCTTGTTGCTCCTACCTTTAGGAGTCCTCTGGGTCCTTCCCTGGGGTCCAGTGACTTCCTGCTCCTCTCTGCTCCCTCGCGCAGTTTAGTGATGCGGGGCCGGAATGACGTCATATTCCGGCTCCCGGCATCACCAGAGAGGGCGCGCGAGGGAGCAGGAAGATCAGCAGAGGCAGTGCTCCCTCGCCGCCGCCTGCCTCCTTCCTCATGAACAGCGGCCGGTATAGTCCTGCAGGGTAGGCACCTGCCATCTGGGTCAAGCAGGTGCCTACTCTGCCTGGCTATCGGGTGCCCTAGGTGGCCCTGCTCCGCGCGGCACCCCCCTCCTCCTGGCGCCAGGGACCGGCCCTGCAGCGGCCGGTTTTTTTATTATTAAGGGCGGCCTGGGGGGCAATTGCCTCCCTGCCCCCCGGCCCAGCCCGCCCCTGGCAGGGCCCCACATGTCGTGTGATTACATACCCCGGCGTTAATGTCACTGCACACTTGAGCCTTGCCCAGAAATGCAATGTGACTGTCCGGCGTGTCACTCCGACCCGCACCCTGACTAGTGTGTGGGGGGAAGTGACTGTCATGCTAGTGAGCGTAGTTTGGGAGGTCAGCAGTAGGGCAATGGAGTTAACATCATTACCCTTGGAAATGCCCTTTCTGATGAAGTCAGGGACAGGGTGAGCCTGGGAAACGTATGAAGTGGGTTTGGCTGAGACCGTCAGGGGAAGGTTTGCCAAGCCCAACAAGGCACCAGGTGTGGCTATAGCGGATTCCAGTTTCGCTAGTCTGTGATTGATTGTTTGGAGGTTGGCGAGTATAGCAGCCAAGGTGTCTCGTGTGGGATATGAAGTGTGAGCTAGCAGGATTTGTGAACTACAGCCTGGCCTGGGAACGTTGGCTTGAGTGGTCATGAGCCCATATAGTTCAGTATTTCTGGCAGTGGCAGGAAAGGGGATACCCCTGCTTCTGAGCTCCGCTGAAATTTTTGGGACCTGTGGGTAAAAGAGGTGAGGGATTTCTCCGGAGACCCAGGCCTGATTGGCACGCTGGCAATGTTGCCCGATGGTAGATTGGTGATTGGCTTTTGAGACATCTGAAAGAGAATAATGATTTGAATAAGTAGGGTGAAGAGGAGGTGAAGGTGAGACCTCCGGAGAACTGGCCTGCTAGCTAGTGCCAAAGCGAAAAGTTTACCTAGACCAAGTGACAGGTGAGGCCCTGCTAGTGCCAAGTGGCGGAGAGAGGCTCTACCTATGATTTGGCCTGGCGGGATTTTTTGTGGCCACATGCACGTGGTGGCGGGGTGTAGGCCTCTCGGTGACCGTAAAGAGAGTCAAAACGTGAGTCCATGACTTGGGAAGCCCTAGCTTTAGCCCACAAGAAGGGTGATTGGTCGTGGGCCAAACCTCCGTGTATAAGGTGGGGGTGTAGACCTCGCGGGACCGGTTATTAATTAGCTAGGTAAGGCCAGAACCTAACCATAGGAGCCAGTTCTCTAAACTACTGAGGCTTGTCTCTCGCAGTGATGTATATGTACGTATGTAAATACTTAACCTTGAGTATAAGTCCTGTTTGTTCGGACAAAGCACGGGTAGACTTCGATATGGCTATAAATTAGCTTCTGCAGGAAAACAGGCTCGATCCAGAACCTAAGGTAAAAGGAGATGCTAGTGGGCCTGAGGCGTGCCACCGGTATGCCAAGTGTAAAAATGTAGAATGTATTGGTAGGTGTGTACCAAAGGTACTGTAACGTAAGCATGAGTAAGCTGAGGGACCTGAACGTTGGTCCATAGTAAGAGACAAGCCCCTGGGTACCCAGGGATGTGAATTTATGAATGAAGCGAAGGCAAGTGAGGCCTTA